GTGTGAGAAAGAGGCAGGAGAGTGCATATGAGATTTCTGTGTGCTTGAGAAAGCCTTCTTTATACAACCTATTTCATAGTTTGATGATTTAGCAGCAACGCTATGGGCCCTGGGATAGTAACAGGGACCAGGGATTGTCTGGCTGCCTGTTTCAAAGTCTGTGTTGGGTTCAGCTTTTTGGGAGGTCCTCAAACTAACCACGGGCACAGAAAACGAGTGGGAGTGCACCAAAAACCCAGTGGGAGGTGTGAGGGACAGAACTGAAAATGTTAGCATCGACAAAAATACAGGAAGGCAGCAGACAGGGAGAGAAATGCCTGCTGTAAAGTGTTACAACTGTGCGACCACAGGTTGCTGTTCCCCCACACTCACACCCACTCCCACCGTGTGTCACACATCCGGGCTTCGTCTCAGACCTGATAGCTGACAGCTGTGGACTCTATGACAGCCAGCAGCTTGGTCGGTGCATTAGATGCTGAGACACACTTTGCCCTTCTCTAAAATACAGGCTGTAATGTTAGTCACCTCAAAGCACTTTATACTGCAATGTAAAGACCCCACAGTATTAAAGAGAGAACCCAGACAATTAGACAGCCCCTTATGAGCAGCACTTGGTGACAGCAGGAAGGTAAAACTCCCTTTTGACAGGAAGAAACCTCTGGCAGGCTCAGGCAGAGGCAGCCATCTGCCATGACCGGTTTGGAGGGGAAAGAGTAGCATATAGAGATCGAGCACAAAACACAAGCTACAGGGAACAGAAGGCGAAAGTCAATAATGCGAAACAGAGCAAGACTGTACATGCGTGAGGAGTGGCATATTAACATGTCGGTATGTTGCTCTTGACACCATAAATTGTGCTGTGTAGCTGTGTTCAAATACTCTACTGATCCATATATCATGCCTGCTGGTATGAAGCTGGCTCTCCTGAGGGTAAGAATTCAGTGCGCTTCAGAGGAAAAGTTCACCTGAGTTTGGAAATCAACAATTAAGCACAGCTCATGTTAGAGCTCTTACTATAAGGACAGATCTCACCATTAGTTGTTGGGTGGAGGCTCTGTGAACCCACTGCGAGTACACGAGCACAGCGAGACTTTGAGAAGGACCGAGCTAAGAAACAAAGAAAAGGACAGCCTGATACGTTCACACAGCGCCCCATCTGGTTTCAGCTCAGCGAGACTGAGATTTTCACAGGACAATGAGGCAAAGCGTACAGATCTTTGTAAGCAGAGTGATGGAGTTCAGCATCTTCTAGCATGTGTGACAGACCTGTACCATAAATGGCTTGGAGCTCGACTCCAGCGAACAGCGAGCAGGTGAGGGAGCTGCTCCAGGTGATGAGCCAGCTGGAGACTGTGCAGACATCGTAGATCGTAGTCTTCAGTTTGTGTGTGTGTGTGTGTGTGTGTGTGTGTGTGTGTGTGTGTGTGTGTGTGTGTGTGTGTGTGTGTTCCAGTGCCATCCCTTTGGAGAGGAGGATACTGACTATGCTGCAGTGGCTTCACCTCCCTGAAGGAGAAAGGTGAGCTGTATGTTTGATTGTGTTACATCTTCTTACCTTCCTTTTCATTTTCTTTGACATTTGGAACTGCTTGTTCCCTCTTTAATTAATCGAGACAGAGAAAGTGACACTGATGTAAAGTAGAATAGCTCCATGCAGTGGATACGTACCACAGCGGGACCCTCAGTTCATCGAATGTCCAAAACAAATCGTTTTAGCTCCTTTGAGTCCTTTAAATGTGCTTTCTTCTGATTGGCTGCCACTTGTGCATAAGAGTTCTCTGATGTATATCTGAGGGATATCTGCTCTTGCTGACATCATAAAGTGCCAAGTGTGGAAAGCTTTTCAAGCAGTCTGAAACCGGGGCTTTCAGCTCACGGGTTTCATGGTTTGTTTAGCTCCTCCCCAAACTTGAAATTTGCCTGGATACCTTTAAAGGATGACAGGATGACTTCACTCTCTTCTTGCCATTTTCTTTTCTTTTCCTTGCCAGTTTGCCTCACTTTGTTACAACCTAAATTAAGTAATAAGAGCTACAGTTACAGATTTTGACCAAAAAGCCTGTGACCTTAAAGAAGGAAACATCTACGCAAACATCGTTATTATCAGCCAACGTTAATATAATGTTCTAGCACTTTAAGCTCAAACTAAGTGTGGAAACAATCGTTTTTCATTTAAATAAAAGTTGGAGTCATTTCTCCATTCAGTGCTCATTTCTGTTGCTCTGCTTAACGAGCTGGTGAGTAATGCTGGCTGAAGGTGAGTTTGCCTGATAGCTAAAAATGAAAAAACAACAAGTTTTAACATCACCTAAATAACATAGCAGTCGGTGGCATTGGTTATATCTGTTTGTTGTCAGTATCCGGCCAATAACAGTATATTAAATAGTTGTTTTTTGGGTTATTTCTTTGCTAATTGTTACCTGTTAAACAGCTCAGGAGAAGGGTGTGCAGTAAAACCTATTTTTCTATGTGAGATATTCACCATGTTGGCAGCTGGATCACAAGAGTCCAAACCAGCCTCTGGAAACTTTATTTCTTGATGTTACTTCCACTAGAAGTCGACTTTGACTCACCTTTTGTTGCAGGCCTTATGTTTACGCCATGCACTCTGAGCAGCCGGACATATACGCACACAAAACGGGGCCCATGAGCACTGATGTAAGTACTCTGTATCTGCACAAACGTCTTGTGGCATGTTTGTGGAAAGCATGCAGTAAAGGAACATCCAAAATGTTTGTTTGGAGGATGACTCGCTCTGTGTGCTCTAGCTGAACATCTCTCTGAGGATGGTTGACAAAATTATTGGCCAGCTCATGGATGGACTCAAGCAGATGAAACTGCACCGCTGTGTCAACATCGTCCTGGTCGGGGATCACGGTACGGACACACACACACCAGCACAGGTGTGTGCGGAGGTATTACATGCTTGAGGACTGCAGGCATGTTCAGCACGCACAGCAGCATCTGTGAAGCAGAAGCTTATACAGAATAACATTGCTTCATTCCAGTTGCGTGACTACCAGTGACTAAGACACAGGGCTAACGGTGGAACACAGATTAAATACGCACAGGGAAGGTCAAGTGAACGCAGGTGATACACATTAAAACAGTTAATGTAATCACCTGAGACAGATAACCAGCCGAAGATCTGAACTCTTCAGGAATCATTCACATTAGTTCTTGTGAGGAAATGAAATAACAGTGGACACTTTTGCCTTCTGCTTGCTGTGTGTAAGCCACAGTGAACGAGCAGTACATGCTGTATTCAGATTGAAAGGAGGAGTGGGGTGAAGTTGCTCATCAACTGCAGACCAGCAGCTTAAATAGCGCAGCCTATACAAGTGGAAGAAGTGATTGTATGTTCCTCTCCTGCATTTGTAATTTTGATCACTTGAAATGAACAGTCTCTAATTTTTATGTTAGTTTACAAAACTTACAAACTCAGCAGGGGTCAAAACATTATTTCGCTCACAGCTAATTAGACGTGTAGAGGACATTAAAAGCCGTCAGCTGATGGGACCTAGCAATTACATCAGCTGATCTTAACCTTTCACTCTGACCAACACACTAAAGTTTCCCACATTAAATGTTATATCACGTAGCTACAGCTGAGATATGTATGGTGACAATAATAATCAGGGCAGGTAAGTTTCCACCAGGTTTACTTACAATCTTTAGTCCAGTGATTAGAAACCGGACCCAAACTGGAATGAGCTGTTGGAGCATGAACTTGGTTTTTGGCTTCAGCTGCTCACATTCCCACATGTTCACAGGTATGGAAGAGGCCCACTGCGATCGCACCGAGTTCCTCAGTAACTATATGACCAGCGTTGATGACATCATCCTCGTCCCTGGGTCCGTAGGCAGAATACGCTCCAGACAGCCCAACAACAGGAAATGTAAGAAGTCAAGTTGGCGTCTTTGTTGTGTTTCTTTTCACTCTTATTCTCACTTTTGTTCAGCAAACATGAAAAAATAACTGTGGTTGAGAAATAAGTGTCTCATGTGATCTCACTGGGAGTGTACGCAGTCTCTCTTAGTGAATAAGTCAGTAAAGTTTATTTAGAAAGTATTCTGCACAGGCTAGGAGTCACAAAGTGCTGAACATCAAAGTAGAAAAAATAAAGATGAAAATGACGGTAACATCCAGTCGAGACACAGAAAAAAAGTAAAAGGTGGTTAAGTAAGAAGTTCCAATCAGTCCAAGTCTCAACAAAGAGCCTGTTGAAACAGGGAGGTTTAGATCTGCTTTGAAGGACAGAGTCAGCTAATCTGAGCTGTCACAGGATCCACAGTCTTAGTGCCACAGACTGCAGAGAGCCTGTGATCAAACAGTGCGAGCAGCAGTTTGTGTAGTGGGCAGCCTTGAGCCGTTCAGTGCGAGAATTTTATAATGAATCTTCAGGGAGCCGATGTAAAGGATATAAAATAGGAGTGATGCAGGTTTGCTACTAGAACGTGTTAATAGTCTGGCTGCAGCTTTTAATATTGCTCAGAAACGTGCAAGAAATGATTTATCTGGGCAGGTCAACAGGACATCACAGTAATCTAAGCACGATGACACAAATGCAAGAATTATTTTCTCCAGTTCAGCCGCGGAGACCATGTGTTGTAGTTTAGAAATGTTCCTTAAAAGAAGGAAATGGGATCGAGAGAAAGATTTTAGCCACAGAGGAATAAAAGAAGAAGCAAGATGAATGATTTCACGATACAGCAGAGCTGTAATCATGGTCTCAGCTGTGTTTACATTTAGAATGAGGTCAGTGCTAAAGCTCCGGTCACGTATCCAGGTTAAACGATGGAGTAGGGTGCACAGCCTGCCCAACTGGTGACGGTTAAAGACATATAGAGCTGAATGCCAGCTTACAATATATATCTCCTAAAGTGACAGTTGTAAATACATTGAATTAGGTTGAGAGCTAAAGGAAGAATGCAGAAAGAAAATAACAATGGGCCCAGAATTGAAGCTTTAGGTTAGAGAGGCAGTGTTACGGTGCACACTGAACGCGACAGACGCGACCAGAGCGTCAGGTTTACATGTAAAGTCAATGGAGGAGCGCGATGAAGCGCGACTGGGGGTCCCGCGAAAATTCAGAAGCAGATTTGCGTCGCGAAAACGAGCAAGTAGCACGACTGACGCGTTTGAAGTGCGAATAGAAATACGCGCGGCAGTTTGTGTGGTGCATTTTGTTCATTCACGCGTATCGCATCTACCGCGAATCTGAACTCCAGCTTCAAGTCGCACTGCGACAACCAATCAGGAGCCTGGTGACGTGATGCTCTGACCTAGTTCAAAGCCATTAACAATATGGAGGAAAGGCTCATCAACGCCGTAGGAAATCACCCGGAGCTGTACGACACCAGCTGCTTTCTCCACCGAGAAGTTTAATATTATTTCAAATAACGTTTTGTAATGACTAATGTCTCAGTTCTACTACACAGCAAATACTGGCACACAACTTGAAACATGTAGAATTGATTTCATATCATACTAATGAAAAAATAAACTACTATATAGGAACATAGTGGAGACCGATTATTTAAGAGAATAAAGAGAGGTTAGTTTATTTTGGAGGCAAGCTCCATTTATTAAGAAAACTTTAAAAAGGCAGGAACGCTCTTTAGAGGTTTGTGAGTGGCTCAGAGCCGTTGTGTGGACGTCACTGGGACTTCAAATGAGCATATATTAGCACAGATATCAATAAAGGACTACCGTGTTAAACACACCGCAGGCAGATGAACAGGCGCTCTGCAGGTGGGATTGAATGCCTGTAGTTGGTGTTTAGGCGGCGATGCTGGGACCGACGCGGGACAGCAGCTCCTCAAACTGGGCGAGTGAAAGACAGTGGTACCGCTGAAAGCGGTCGTCATCCAGACGCAGCTCCTGGAGCTCACCAAACTGCTCACGCCTCTGGAGGACCTGATGGACCCAGGTATGGCGAGGACGTCCTTTACGCCGCTGCTCTCCACAGTAAATAGAGAAGGGAGACTCTCTCTTCAAACGATCAACAGCTGCCATCTTGCAAACATACCGTCTGGCACTACTTCCTCCCACATTTCCGCTTCACGCGCGTGAAAATTGCATATTTTGAAGCGCGACCAATTCGTGTTGGTCAATGTGCACGCGACCAGCTAGGGATGTCTATCATGTTCGGTGTGAACGCACCGTTAGGGGTTCAAGAAGGCCCCTGCACCTCCTGAAGCTCCGTTGTTCCACAAAAGGAAAAAACAACCTCTGTCCCCACTGCTGTTCTGCATAGGCCTGAACCCCCTCAGTGAGATCATTAACAAGACTGGCTACGGATACCGACTACGGAACGGAGCAGTTGTCAGCCACCTCCTGTACATGGATGACATCAAGCTGTATGCCAAGAGTGAACGAGACATCGATTCACTGATCCACACTACCAGGCTATACAGCAATGACATTGGAATGTCGTTCGGACTGGAGAAGTGTAGTCGGATGGTAACAAAGAGAGGGAAGGTAGTCAGAACTGAGGGGATTGAACTACCAGAAGGCAACATTGCAGACATAGAGGACAGTTACAAGTACCTGGGGATCCCGCAGGCGAATGGGAACCATGAAGAGGCCGCTAGAAAAGCTGCAACCACCAAGTACCTGCAGAGGGTCAGGCAAGTCCTGAGGAGTCAGCTGAATGGTAAGAACAAGATCCGGGCCATCAACACGTACGCCCTGCCCGTGATCAGGTACCCTGCTGGGGTAATAGGCTGGCCAAAGGAGGAGATAGAAGCCACTGACATAAAGACAAGAAAGCTCCTTACCATGCATGGAGGATTTCACCCCAAGTCCAGCACCCTGAGGCTGTACGCTAAGCGGAAGGAAGGGGGCCGGGGACTGGTGAGTGTCAGCACCACAGTCCAGGATGAGACAACGAACATCCAAGAATACATTGGGAAGATGGCCCCAACTGACCGAGTGCTCAGTGAATACCTCAGGCAGCAGAAACCCAAGAAAGAGGAGGGAGACGAGGAACCATCATGGAAGGACAGGCCCTTGCACGGTATGTACCACCAGCAGATAGAGGAGGTGGCTGATATCCAGAAATCCTACCAGTGGCTGGACAAAGCTGGACTGAAAGACAGCACAGAGGCACTAATCATGGCAGCACAAGAACAAGCTCTGAGCACAAGATCCATAGAGGCTGGGGTCTATCACACCAGGCAAGACCCCAGGTGCAGGCTGTGTAAAGATGCCCCAGAGACAATCCAGCACATAACAGCAGGGTACAAGATGCTAGCAGGCAAGGCATACATGGAACGCCATAACCAAGTGGCCGGCATAGTGTACAGGAACATCTGTGCGGAGTATAACCTGGAAGTCCCGAGGTCAAAATGGGAGATGCCCCCAAGGGTGGTGGAGAATGACCGAGCTAAGATCCTGTGGGACTTCCTGATACAGACGGACAAAATGGTGGTGGCTAACCAACCGGACATAGTGGTGGTAGACAAACAGAAGAAGACGGCCGTAGTGATCGATGTAGCGGCTCCGAATGACAGCAATATCAGGAAGAAGGAACACGAGAAGCTGGAGAAATACCAAGGGCTCAGAGAAGAGCTCCAGAGGATGTGGAGGGTGAAGGTAACGGTGGTCCCCGTGGTAATCGGAGCACTAGGTGCGGTGACTCCCAAGCTAGGCGAGTGGCTCCAGCAGATCCCGGGAATAACATCGGAGATCTCTGTCCAGAAGAGCACAGTCCTGGGAACAGCTAAGATACTGCGCAGGACCCTCAAGCTCCCAGGCCTCTGGTAGAGGACCCGAGCTTGAAGGATTGACCACCCGCAGGGGCGTGCTGGGTGTTTTTTTTATTTTTTTATTTTATTTTTATTAATTTGTGCATTTGTTTTTTTCTAGCAGTGTTTTAATAGTTCTGACTGCTGAGTTAAAATGAGCACTTGTTGCTTTTCCCATTTACTGCTTGTTGTTGCTTACTTTTGCTTACTTTGCTTACTTGCTTTGTTTTAGTTTGTCAGGACCATCTTTCCTTATAGTGCTAGCAAACATTCACAGTGACACTTTAATTACCAGGCTTGTAAAAGGCCTTTGAATCTAATGGGCTAATTTTTCACTCGGCCTCATTGGATCTGTGAGGAGTTCTCCTTACTGATGTCGGTCGTCTCTACAGCAGACTGGTGTTGACACTATGAGCCTGCACATTGCAAACAAATGTTTGCGTTTGCAATCTCATCTTATGCATTCTTTTTACTCCTCGTTGGAAGAATGGAAGTTTTCACAAACCAAGATCAAAACGTCCAGTCTGCTGTAAAAATCATAATAAAAAGACACGTTTTACATGTGACATAAATAACACTACTTCTTGTTGTTCGTCGCCATCAGCACAGGAAAAGGAGTGGACTCAAAAACAACTTTACGTCCAACGACTTTGTGACAGAAGGAGTCAGTTCGTTGCCATCGGGGCGCAGCAGTTTCGCCTAAGAGTGCAAAGGATGCGCTGGCTTGAGATCCACATTGAAAAGCATGATGAAAAGACTCAGTGTCTTAGAAGCACGCCCTCCTGAGAGTGCTGCCAGACGTCAGTTTGGAACAGGCAGAGGCTCATCTCCAACACCCAGAGAGGACCCACTTCTCCTCCCCTCATCTACAGCTCCGGTGCCACTGTGCCAGTTCCAAGAGTAGACGGATGGCTTTTTCTCCCAGTCACGTCTCTATCTCCTTCACTTATCATTCCTTATCTACAGCTTCACCCGTCCAACATCTGACACTCGCCTGCCAGTTAAAGGAATGAAAGAGACTTCGATGATATTTGGAGTAAATCAAAACTGAACCGGAGTGAAGCCCGAGTGAAAACAGGAGTTACCGTGTGTACAGCTGAGGTTTCCCAGTCTGCCTGAACAGAGGCACAAAATCCAGAACCAAACAAATGAAAGACTTAGGAGTCCCAGTAAATGCATACTGTCACATTTAAAGGCTAGATAACGCTGTATTTAGTCATTTCTACAGTTTATGGAGTTTTCATAGTTCATAGTTTTGTATTCTCACCAACTTTGTGAACACAGTAACTCAAGAAAGAAGTCACGTAGGATTTTCAAAACGATACCATAGGCGCGTCTACTTGGAGGCTGAGGGGTAGCGCTGGTCACCACCAGTATTTTTAAATAAAGCCTTTGTATCCAAATAATGTCTCTGCATTTGGTTTATTATGTGATTTTCCCAAAAAAGGAATTCTCTTCAATATTTACTGGCAGTGACGGTGACACCGGGCAGCAGGAGCAACAAGTTAGAGAGCAGGCTTGTATATGTGCATGAAAAGGCTCCATGTTAATGCTAATGATGTGTTTGCTCTCACATGTCGTCCCCGTACCTTCCTGTGTTTGAACAGTGGACTCTGCATAGAAATTAAAACGGCCCAACTCCAGTCAGCTACAGTTGTTACTCGTCTGTGGAGTTTAAGCATCAGAATAAGAGTTTTATTATGGAGTCATAATGTTGAATTGTGTTAATGACAGTTACAGCTGTATATAGATATAACATAAATCTTTCCCATCCTACCCCGATTCTGGCTGTCTGTATCAGTGTCAGAGCTTAAAGAGATGGGGGGTTTGTAGGCAGACACACACCTTGGATGGGTCGGAGTCTGACACAGTATGCCCTTAAAATGATTATTATTACTTTGCAATGCTTTTCACTTCTGTTCATTGTTGTTTTTCAGATGACCCCAAAGCTGTTGTGGCCAATCTAACGGTAAGTGCTGTTTTTAAGATAATATAGGACCATGTAAGCTGTGTGGAGACAGAAAAGCATGTGCAGTGTTGTAAAAGAAAAAAATGATGCAAAGAAAGAAACATGAAATAGACGTGTCAGTCAGCTCTCTGCTCGTGTTGTTTTCTTGTAGTGTAAGAAAGCAGACCAGCACTTCAAAGCGTACTTGAAGCAGCACCTGCCAAAGAGACTGCACTACGCCAACAATCAACGCATTGAGGATGTCCATCTCCTGGTGGACAGGAAGTGGCACATTGCCAGGTACAAGAGGAACACTTAAACATGAAATACTCATACAGTACACACGAGGCAAACTTGAACACTCTAAGAGGAAGATTGTTTTTCCTGACTCTTATCCTGAAAACACAACTGGATCAATTTGACATACGCAGCTTGTTTTAGGCTGATGGACATTTTTTAATGAGAATATAATGAGCAGCAAAAATCTACGTAATGTCATAAAACGCTGTGTGAGACATGGCAGGATCCAAAACTCACAAACAGCTTTACTGCTGGATTCACTAAATACTGGGACCACAGAACACACAGCAGCAGCAATGAGGGAGACACAGACGGTATGCAGAGAGGTCAGACCTGGGGAACAAGATCTAACTCACAAGACAGGGACAAGCTGCACAGGACAGGAGACGGTCAAAGCAAAGCAGCAAGTATCACGAGGAGTTTAATAAAAGAGCAGTTAATATTTTAGAATAAAACCTACAGAGCATCAGATAAAATGGTTGATAAATCTTGTTTGATCGGACATCTTTAGGCTAGATATGGGATGAGAACTGTGTCCGTCCTCCCGTGGGCAGATACCGTCTCACATGACGCCCCACCTGACAAAGGACACGTGGAACTTCAGCTCAGGGTTTAAATCCGACTTGATCAGTTCTCTCAGTTGAGTCAGGGCACACAGTAATCACATACTCACTACAGAACTGTGAGGATGAATCTCCCTCAGCCTGCGTGGAAATCATGAAGAAGGTCCTCCTCAAAACTATTTCTTTGTCAGATGTCATCCAGGTGATAGTTTGGCAGAAATCCTTCTTCACGGTTTTAATGCTTATTTCTCACAGTGGTTATAGGTTGTAGAGCAGATAAAACAAAATGTTATTACCCATAGATTGTATATAAATGGATCCACATGAGGACAAATTATTAGTGCCTCTATTAAATTTAAAGTGTGTATCAAAAAAGTCCCATTTTACAAAAGAGCAACAGATTTTTAACAAAGCATTATGTTTTCTTTTGAAAGCATGAATTATTTCTATTCACACACAATAACAGAATTATTTCAGGAAAAGATGGCCAGGCTGGTTATTATTAGCCACTTGGAAAAACAGAGCTGTGCAATGATGTGCTTTATAAGACTCAGCTTGTAAAATCAAGTTGAGGGTCATCTATCAATTTACACACAGTATATAAAAATCTGCAAGTGTTTGAGCCGTCACCTGTGAAAGCATCATGACACAAACCAAGGAAAAATATTTAGAGTCGGGAAAAAGAAATTGTTGATCACTAAGCAGAAGATGGAGATACAGAGTTATCACAAGTGTCAAGAACTGGAGTAAGAAGTATCATCAAGCCACACAATACAGAACGAGCCTGATAGAGGTAAGAAGCAAAGATTTCAACGAGGTGTCCGATGACCCCAGAACAACTGCCAAGACACTCGGCAATGACTTAGCCAAATCAGGAATTGTAGTCTCATAGGAGACCGTCACTGGAATCCTGAGCAGGAATGGACTGTGAGGTTGCAGAGTAAGCAAAACTGCAGAAGAGACACCATCAAGCCAGGCTGAAGTGTGCCCTGAAGAACCTGGAAAAAGATTATGCATATTGGAAGCATGTCCTTTGGTCAGATGAGACAATACTAGAACTCTTTGGCCACAGAAATGTTGCTTGTGTTTGGAGAAAGTAGGGAGTACAACTATAGAGCACCGTCCCCACAGTGAAATATGATGGTGGGAGTATTATGCTGTGGAGATGCTTTAATGTTTTCTGGATTGGGAATCTGGTCAAGGTAAAAGGAATCATAAAGAAAGTAATCTGGGTCCTCATGTTAAAGAACTCTAGATCTCCAGAAGACCAAAGTGAATGTTAATGACTGACCTGCACAAAGCCCTCGAATCCCACTGAGAATCCCACAGTGGGGTGAACTGAACACCAACAGGACCATGCCAGAAGACCATCAAATCTGGAGGAGCTTGAGAGATTCTCCTAAGACGAATGGGCTGGAGTGACAGCAGGCCTTTCTCAAGCAAGAAGGATACACAACCGACTCGGGAGGGGCTGTTAGTTTTTTGTGAAATAACTGTTTCTGTGTGCAAAGCGAGATCATCTAAGCATCCAAAATAAAACTAAAATGTTTATTTGGTCCATATTATGGTAAAAAAGGATATTTAAACATGGCATGCTTTAGTGGTGCAGGTCCAGGTAACACAGGTGGGCAGTTAAATGGTTAAATGACAACAGAGTGAAAAGAATAGTTGACCAGTGAGATGCTACAGATGCTGTTTTGTGCAGTTATGAATATTCGTGGTGATTAAGGACTTATCTTTTGTGCTTGCGTGCAGGTTTGAAAACCACATGTCTGAAAGAGCACAAGTAGTTAAGGTGTGTAGTGGATCTGTCTGCCAGTAACTGGAGAGAGACCAAGTAAAATCAAGCAGCCTGCTTACTTTAAAGGAGTTTTCATTTAGTTTGAATTTGCTGCTCCTGCTATCCAAAAAGCTGCTCTAACGTCGCGTACAGTTGGTGTTGATGTGGCGTTTTCAGCCCACCCAGCGCCGAGGCTTTTACTGCACATCTTGGATCACTTAAAAACACATTTTATGCCAACGTGCGCTGCTATCAACGCATCATTAACACATGCGGTGCTGAAAAGCTGTACGATGTGGCGTCCCGAATCACACGCACACGGTAAAGAAAAAAAAACACGCTTGCATTTTTCAAAAGAGCAGCTGCTGAAAGTTTAATGAGGCTCTAAGATGAACTGTGACAGGCGTTTGATACAGAGCGGTGAAAAGTCTTACTGCAGCGATCCAGTGACAAAGAAAACGATGAAGTCATCCTGAGTGAAAGTGAAAACAAACCACAGCAGCTAACTCTGTGTGTGTGTGTGTGTGTGTGTGTGTGTGCGGGTGTGTGTGTGTGTGTGTGTGTGTGTGTGTGTGTGTGTGTGTGTGTGTGTGTGTGTGTGTGTGTGTGTGTGCGGGTGTGTGTGTGTGTGTGTGGGTGGGTGTGTGTACTTGCATTGGTCTCGTCTGTAACGCCACCTAACGTTAAGCTGTGGTACACTGCAGGACGGCCACTTTGTCTCACACACGGCTGCTAAATGAAAGAGATCTCTGAGGTTTGTGTGCAGCTCTGATAGGCAGAGCAGGCTAATCGTTGGCACTGCAGTGGAAGCAGAGGTACAGTGCTAACACACACTCTCATACACACACACACACACGAGTGCAGGCACATATACGTTAGTGTCTGTGAATCTCAAACCAAAAACTGTTCACACCAAATGAAAAGATGTTTGTCTTGTTTCCCCCGTCATCTTGTCATTTACATTTTCGACGTGCCTGTGGCTTCAACCCCCCCCAACACACACACACACACACACACACACACACACACACACACACACACGCGCGCACACACACACACACACACACACACACACACACACACACACACACACACACACACACCCTTGAGTATATGACTGGGAGTACTGTTTTAATGGACATATGTCTGTGAAGGTTCTCAGTCATCCAGGTCATCGTAGTCTAAGGAGCTTGGAAAGAAAAGCGTCTGGACTTCTTTAAGTTGCTTGAAGACGTTTCACCTCTCATCCGAGAAGCTTCTTCAGTTCTAAGGTCAAATGGTGGAGAGTCCCAGATTTAAACCCAGTGGGAGTTTCCCCCCACAGAGGGACAAAAGGACCCCTGATGATCCTCTAATCGCCTGAGCCAAGGTGTGAAAACGGGTGTGGGTCCCAATCCACAGCATGTCTTTATCCTGTCTTCCTTCTCTCACCCCAACCGGTCGCAGCAGATGGCCCCGCCCCTCCCTGAGCCTGGTTCTGCCGGAGGTTTCTTCCTGTTAAAAGGGAGTTTTTCCTTCCCACTGTTGCCAAAGTGCTTGCTCATAGGGGGTCATATGATTGTTGGGTTTTTCTCTGTATCTATGAAGCGCCTTGAGGCGACTTATGTTGTGATTTGGCGCTATATAAATAAAATTGAATTGAATTGAATTGAAATCAGCCAGGGTTTCGGGTGAGCTCATTGTGAAACCTGGCCCCACCCTATCATGTGATTTCCTGAGGTCAGATGGCCCAGGATGTGAGTGAGCGTTAAGGCATCTGAGAAGGATCTCAAAACTGGATTATAGATGGCAGACAGTTGGTGTCGTAAGCCCCGCCCCTCTGTTGGACATAAATGGCTTCTTTCACTCCTCTTTCAAACCATCTGTCCTCTCTGTCCAAAATGTGAACATTGGCATCCTCAAAGAGTGACCTTTGTCCTTTAGATGCAGATGGACTGCTGAGTCTTGTCCTGTGGAGGTGGCTCTTCTGTGTTGTGCCATGCGCTTGTGAAGTGGCTGTTTGGTCTCTCCAATGTGCTAGATTAAACTCCCCTAAAGAGAGCCCGTGAGGTTGCCAGACCTCTAGTGGAATGCGCACGCAAGGAGGCTGAAGGCCCCTGCTAGTATAGGCCAGGGCAATTGGAGAGACGCTATTTAGACACAGGCTTTCCCGTATGTGGTTTAGCCCAGGACACGAACAGCTGGTCACTTTGTCTGACACTCTGGGTTCTGTCCATATAAATGCGCAGAGCACGGACTGGACACAAGGTATGCAGCCGCTGTTGCTCCTCTAAGGAGAAAGTGGTGGGTAAAAGGCCGGCAGTTCTATAGGGGAACATGTGCCGACAACCTTTGGGATGAAGGCGGGGTTGAGCCGCATACTGACCCTCATATTATCCGAGGAGAACTGAATGCATGGCTGATGCACTGAGAGAGCGTGGATCTCTCCTACACGCTTAGCTGAAGCTAAAGCAATTAATAGAGCCGTCTTCAAGGACAGAAATGGTGGAGAAGGCTTTACCCCTATCAATCAGGGCCTGAAGAAATGACAGAATCATTGCCACAGAGCACTGAAAAGGGATGGCCTGTGATTCTAAGCACCAGCTTTCAAACACACGCCACTTGTGCTCATATAGCGTCCTAGTAGACAATGGTATGAACACTGAATAGTGTCGATA